TTGAGTTTAAAAATGAGTCAACATTATAACATTTGTAAGAAGCAAGTACATGGTGTGCTATGACTTTGAAGTCTTTTTTTCCCGTAGCTGATATCAATATTCTGTTGAATCGTTATCTTTCCTGCCTATATTCCTCTAGTGGTTATTCTCTACCACAATATTTCCGTGCAGGAAGGAACATAATCAGATTCCAGGCTATTCAAAAGTCAAACACTGGGAAAATAATCCTGCTTTTAAAATGAATATCATTCACAGGAAATAGAGTAATTCATGAACATGACTACAAACACATGTAATATAGAAATGGGAGCCGGGAGACATAATCAGGGAAAACAACAAGTGGATTTTTGGCATTTACAGAATCAGATGAAGAAGTGATTATGGCCGGAAATTGGCATGTATTGAAGAGAATGGATTGAAAGAAAACAGTCACAGATGGCTTGTTTGATCAGTATAATTGGGATGTGCTTCAGCCACCTGCGACCCTACGGATAAGTTGAAATAGCTTAAATAAATGGGTGGAATATACTTCACCTTCAGATCCAGTTAATATTAAGGTTAAGTTATAAAACCAGACAGAAAACACAATTTACTTATAAAGCTGCATATAGATTTGCCATATATGACATCTATTTACCAGGCGGACCTTATTTGTTCAAGTATTCCTACTCATACAACAATCAAAATCATATTTTAGATCAAGTATTATTAACTGTAAAACCTAATGCAACGTGTTATTACTTTAAAAAGAAAACAGGTCTTAACCTGACATGTTAGGGCGGGGCTAAGCGGTTGTTTGGTAAATATTATTAATTCTTCTCATGCCTGAGTCAGCTGGCCTGGTGCATATTTAAAATGTCAGTAAGGAACCAGTATAACTGGACAAAAGGCTTTTGTGAAAACAACCATCTTCTGCCTGTCATGTTCTTTGCTTGCTCGACAGGTGCTAAGAAACGTACAGAAATGTCCAACTCAAATGATTAAGAAGGGAGTGAAGACAACTTTCCTTCAGTCAGAGAAGAGCTGAGGTTTGTTGTTTGAAACATAAGCTGGACTGCCCTCCAGTGACTGGTTAAGGTAACAGCCGATTAAAGACATCATGGTCTACAATTGATCATTATTACGGTTTCACATGATTTAAGAAATCCAGAGGCTTGAAGTTTCAATTCCTTAAGGAAAAGTTCACACACAACAGAGGGGCGGATGTCTTTTGATCGGTAAGAGAAAATGCTTCAATATCTTACCAAACAAAGTCAGTTTGAGTATTCTACTGCACTGGATGGCGAAGGAGAGGTCGGAGCTGTCAAAAATGGTGATGAGGTCATCATCTAGAAAGAGGGAAATTAAAGAAAAGATTATTCACTGTATGGGAAATTATCTCTGCCAAAAATAAAGATTACGTCGTCAAGTTATCAGTAACAGTCACATAAACTTGGTTTTAAAAACAAGACAACCAGAGGAAAACGTCAACAATCACACTTGTGACCCTTGAGACCAATAAGGACAAAGGGCCCTGGATGTCCTGACTCACCTTCATCCTTGTATTTGATGGTAACCTCGTCGTTACTCTGCAGCTTTCCCCTGAAGACACGTTGCATCATCAGCACTAGCTCGTCGTAAGTAATGTCTTCGTTGTGGATTGGGATGCGTCTGATGTCATCGCCCAACTGGGCTTTAATGATCAGCTTCCCGCTTAGGTCCAGCTGGCCGTTCATGGTGCCGTCCGACCTCTTCTGCTCCCACCACTAACAGGGTCAGAGGAAAGGTAGATTTGAAAACAACTTACTAAACAACAAGCCTGATGTCCTAGCGTCCTGTCTACTTTCTCAATGCTTAATGGAACAGAGTATGACATTTTGGGAACAGCTAAGTTGGACTGACTTTGATTATTTGTTGACTATTAAAGAAGTAGGGTTTTTATTCATAAAGTTGATTGAAGGTTACCAAAAACTAAAGTCATCAACAGCATCAGTGTTAACGGACAATAGTGTAATGCTGAACCCCACTAGAACTGCAGGACTATGATTAAAAGAATGACTCACTCTGCTTAGTATTGAAAGATCTCACTTATGCACGAAATAAAATAACATCAGAATGATCATTATATTCAACTAGAGGGCTTAGAAAACACTGGTTCTGTGTTATCAGGTTAGGCGAAGTAGTTGTTGAAAGTGGTTTCTTGGTGGTTACTATTTAAAGGCGATTGTTACATTAACAAGGGATATGGAATCATGTTCAAATTAGCAGATCCTATTTGTGGTCTTATCTCTCTGAACAGAGATCAAGGGAGAAAGAGAACTTCTCTCTACTAAACATTTAATTGTAATAGTCTAACTCAATCTTTAACAAACCGTCTATCTTCCTAATGGGCAGTGATGTGATTTCTAAAGTTTGTTTATACGTAATTTAATCCAATCAAGAGTATTCATATGAAGTAACAACATCACACAGTGTCCCTGTACTGCAGGGTCTAAGGGTCAAACATCACCCTGTGAGGTGGCAAAGATAACTGTATGATATTACAGACTTTGACCCAAAATATTAACCAGTTTGATAAGATAATCACAGCTTTCAACTATGAGTATTGGACCTTTTCGAAAGACATCATTTGATCATTTACAAGCAAAATAGGTGAAACACACAGATTAAGTTTGTTATGCAATCCAACATATGCAGTTTCACATTCAGCTAAAGTCGAGCCTAAACAGCTTGTGATCAATGCACGTCTCTCAGTGATCATGTGCATCAGTGGTGGATAATAACAAAGTGCATTTACTCAAGTACAATTTTGAAGTACCTTACCTGAGTGTTTTCAGTATATGCTACTTATACTTCTACTCCACTGCATTTTAGAAGCCAATATTGTACTTTTTAGTCCACTACATTTATTTGACAGCTTTAGTTACTAGTTATTTTTTAGATGTAGACAATTAGCTTGTACAAAATATAAATATACATTAAATTATTTATAAGTTATATGTATAGGTTAGGACATCCAGCAGCAGTATACAGTTACTGTATAATATATAGATGATTAGGAGCACCTTTATTCTTGATACTTTAAGTATATTTTGATGCTGATACTTTTGTACTTAAGCAATATTTGGAATTCAGGACTTTTTACTTGTAACAAAGAACTATGCAAATGTAGTATTGCTTCTTTTACTTACAAATCTGAGTACTTCTTCCACAACTGATATGTAGTGAGCAGCTGGATTTACTATGACGTTTGGTACTTATGTTCAAGGCTGGACAATAAACAGTGAATTTAATTCCAGAGATGCTACGGCTTTCACTCTGCTAGCCAGATGAATAATTAGCCGGATGCTAGGGATTGTGTGGTAGCTAACATTTAGCATACAGTTATGTTAAATGGGGGAACGACAAACTGGTTTCTACCAAAAGTGGCAATACTAAATGTTGATGACAACGTTTGGTAACTTTAGATCTGATTTAGACGTTAAAATTGTCACTGAAGTGCGGCTAAAGCTGATGGTAACAGACGCTCATTCGCAGAGTCATCTGTCAGTGGCCCATAAACATAACCAGTGACTGCTAACTAGGCCGTTTCATCACTGCCCTGTCAATGGTGTCATTAAAAACTGTAAATGCGGAGTTAAAAGCAATAGTATATTTAATATTTCATTTCATTGCAGTAAAATAACCATCATTAATTTCACTTTCTAGTAATCGGTCGGCATCAAGCTGTTTCCTGGGTAACTTGCTACCTTTAAATGGCACTCTGAGCTAACGTTAGGTAAACCGGCATATTTTCAACAAAGTAAAATAACAACTTTGTCTTTCGTAAGAATAGAAAAAAAAGCCAGTGTCAGTTATTTTCGTATGTAACTTCCTATGAATAAGACTCGGCACCTGTTTGGGCGAGATGCCTAAGCGTTAGCTCGCTGCGTAGCTAAATTAACATTAGTAGTTGCTAGCTAGCAAGCTAACCACATAGCTAGCTTGCTAGCAACAGACCACTCAAACAGAGAAAGGATGGGAACTGCTGTGTGGTTTAAACTACTTCATAACATGCCTGAACCATAAACACAAGAAGGTATTTTACCTGAATCAGACGACTTGGCCGCGCTGTGTTTCACAGGTTTCCCTAAACCGTGAAATTAATATATTTTAGCTAGCCTAGCTAGACCCGGGTACCAGCATCAGGAAGTGTCCAAGCCTCCAAGACTGTCAACGTCAAACAGTACGTGGCATTCATCGTGCGCATGCGCAGATGATCTGGATCAAAGTGCGTTGTGACCGTTGTGACCAGATACTGTGCCTGTGATTGAATCACCTAATTGTAAATATGTTCAGTGCTGTAAAGCAGAGCTGGGAGAAGTACTCAGATCTTGTACTTAAGTAAAAGTGGAAGTACCATAGTGTAGGAATACTCTGTTACAAGTAAAAGTCCAAAATGTTACAGATGTAAAAGTACAAAAGTATTAGCATCAAAATATACTCAAAGTACCAAAATAAAGCAATATGCAAATGTTCTAAATTCAAAATTATATATTTTATGTTTTGATTATAATGATTGATGCATTAATGTATTTATCAAAGCTGGTAAAGGTGCAGCTAGTTTGAATTACTTAGTATGCTGCAGGGTAGCTCGTTAATGTTACTCCTGGTGTAACTAAAGTCTTATTTAAGTTTTAAGTGTGTTACACCACTGATGTAAAGTAACTAAGTACATCACTCAAGTACTGTACTTAAGTAGCCTACAAAGGCGTCATTTGCACTGGGGACGCTGGGGACATGTCCCCACCACTTTTTGAAAAGGCCAATTTTGTACCCACCACTTTTTAAAAGTATAACTTATACATGTTCTGAAAAATAACGTGCACAAAGAAATGTAATTAAAAAAGAACACTGGTTTAGTGTTTGCAGCAAACCATCACACACACTTCTGTGGAGATGCTCTCCAACATCCTCAATAATACACTAAATAAACGGGCAGTGTGTTAAGGAGACATTTCTTGAAAAAGATATCCAGAAACACGCTTTATAATGCATATTTTATTCCGAAACACAGGAGTAATGAGCTGTCTTTCTGATGCTGAATGAGAAAACATGAAAATATATCAGTACAGGCAGCTATTCTTATCACCATCTCTATGTTTTAATAGCTGAAATGCATTCAGGAAAGCAGGTAATATGAGAGGTAGACTTACAGAAGAAACAGCATCAGCACATCTGTAGCAATAAACCTAGTTCCTTTAAAGGTAGAGTCAGCAATTCTAATCCAATATATTTTTGTCAAATTCAGCAAAACCCTCCTCCTTGCTAGAAATATATATTCAGTGTGTGCTGAAAACAAATCTGGTGTTTGTACACAGCCCTGGCTCTGTAAATGGTATACAAAAAGTGTCTCACTCCCAGTTGCAATTCTTGAATTCACTTCACATAATTTTTAGAGAGATTACTTAACATCCCTTTTCCTAATTGACCAATGTCTTAATTTAGATTCAAGCTGATGATGAAGGGGGGAAAGTAGATGGTATTCCATGTTTATGGATGTTGCTTTGATGCCACTCCTCATTGTGTCTTCTTGCCACTCAAAATAAATTATGATGAACAAAAATAAAACAATTTAAAGTAATAATAAATAAGCCAGGTTCCTGTACAGAAGAAACTGGTTTCTAATGTATGTTGTTTCATGAAATTAATTATATATAAATAGACTTAAATAAGATTAATAAATTAAGTTAAAAACACAGTTTTTTCCCAGTCACAGCTTTTTCACTCGATTACTTCTTCTTCTTTTCCTGAGTGGAGTCAAACCAAGAGTCTAACAGCTTCTTCATGTAATATAACTGCCAGCCGTGTACTTGAACAGCAACCACCATGATGAGATACATAACAGTCACTGCAGAGAAGCCAAAAATGAAGCGGTAGGCCTTTCCATGGCGGTAGAGCTGCTGCGCCACAGGAAACATCTCCATTCCACCGTAAATGAGTGGTGCCACAGAGAACAGCCCTGCGCTGATCATGGATAAGACCAGGTAACTTATATTGTTCTTTGGAAGGGATAGGGCACTGCAGAACAGAGGCAGGAGGCTGAGCAGGTAGGGGTACTCCCACTGGTACGGCATGGACACTATGTCATGGGACACCAGGTTGAAGTGGCTGACAGTCACTTGTGCCGCCACCAGCAGCCAGAGCAGGAAATGGACCAGGTTTAACTTCCGCACCTCTGACTTCATGGGAACACTGTAAAACCGATAACAGATAAACAAGGTGTTAGCCATACTTCTTGTTACTGTCACTATCAAAAATACATGACAGGTACTTGCCTCATCTGGTATTGTGGGACCGACACCCTCTCTTTGTACTTGAATTCACTTCCATTGGTGCCACCTGGTCTGAGACCAGCACGTGATGTCATGTTGAGGCAAACCTAAAGACAAAACACATTTTATTTCAGCAACCAACACTTGACAGACCTAAACCAACAATCATTTTTTGTATTATTTGTTCTATATTATGTTTGAAAATAATATTAAAAAGCCCATGACAATCTCATAAATTACAAAATGATATCTACAAGGTGCTTGTTTTTTACAGCAGCCCAAAGCCAATATATTTTGAAGATATTAAAATGTATAATTTATATAAATAAATCTGCAAATCCTCACAACAGGAAGCTGGATTAGACGTTTGGCTTGAGAATGACTCAGCCCAACCGACCAATTATCAAGATAGTTTATTTGACTATTTAATGATTCCAGTATTTGCTTTAGACCCAAACCTAACATTTGACACTGTTAGCCTGCTCATTTTAACTACACCATGAGACTGGATTAAATGGCAGGTGTTACAACACAGACACGATGCCATCAGAGGAGAAAATCAAGTTAGCAATGACATAAAATCAACCATAGTACGTGAGACCGATCTGATTTTCTAATAACAAAGTGCTACCAGCTATTTAAAAAAAAACAAGAGTAATTAGAGGCAGATTAGTTGGGCTGTTATATGATCAAAGCAGGCTAGCGTGTTAGCTGCTGTTGCTAGCTAACCTAATTTAGCATAACCTTTAAACAGATCTAGTTACGTTTTGTAGCTTACGACTGGCTTGTTTCTATATTTAGCAAAAACAACACAGTGTGACACCATTTCAAATCTTAAAAGCTAACAATGCTTACCCTTACTGCTGCGTATTTCCGGAAGGTTTGGAAGAGCTCGTTGAATGAATCTGTACTAACAAAAGATGTGGTGACAGATGTTGCAAACCCCACTGCGCATGCGCTGTAGTCGATTAACTCCCCCCGCAGCATCAGCATCTCGTCTCACAGCTGTTACCATGATCAGTGATGGAAAGTAACTAAGTAGATTTACATTACATAAGTACTGTACATTAGTACACTTTTGAGGTACTTGTACTTTACTTTAGTATTTCAATTTGTTGCTATTTAGTTATTCTACTCCACTACATCTTAGACGTAAATTGCGTACTTTTACTTTTAATTTATTTAATAACTGAAGTTACTTTGCAGGTTTGGATTAATGATAGGAAATATAATGAACACTTAGGTAAGCCTATAGTTACACCTGGAGTAAATTCCCAAGCTACACTGCAGCATACAAAGTAATTAAAACTAGCTGCACCTTTACCAGCTTTGATAAACACATGAATGAATCAATAATAATAATCAAAACATATAATGTATATTATTATGGAATGGGCCAATCTGCATAATGAGTATTTTTACTTTTGGTACTTTAATATTTTGATGCTGATACTTTTGTAATTTATTTGAGTAACATTTTAATTGCAGGACTTTTACTTGTAACAGTATTTCTACACTCTGGTACTTTTACTACAATATCTGAGTACGACTCCCAACTCTGGTAACAAAGTACATTTACACAAAAAAAACGTGGTACTTGTACTTTACTTGGGTATTTTCGTATTATGCTACTTTATACTTTTACTTCATACATTTTTTTTTGGCAAATGTTGTACCTTTTACTCCACTACATGTATTTGAAATGTTTAGTTACATGTTACTTCTTACAGTGAGCAAAAACATTTCAACCATACAGTATATTCTTTTTATTTAAACATTTTTTATTTAGAAAAACAACATAGACAATAATAACAAAAGTGAAAAATTAAGACATTAAATCTTTGGTTACAACGACAATATTAGCACCGTGATAAAATAAGAAATATACATTTAGTTTTCCTTTAAAAGTTGTCATGCTTTTTGTCCTTGTCATAGCATGCAAGGGATCGGCAGATTAAATAATAAATTATTGACATAACCATTCTTATGAATTGCTGCGACATTCAATACTTGCTTTGAGTTAATTGTGATAAAAATGTATTTGTATTGTCTTTAAACCTGGCAGCAAGACGTACCAAATGAAGCTCACCAAGGATGCTGTTACAACTAAAAAATTATTAATCTTACAAAACAGTTACAAAATACAATCAGTTTAATTTTAAATAAAAAGAGTAAGTAAGAATATATTTCATTTGAATTTATTCCCAACATGATTTCGCTCTGAAAGAAACCTAAATGCAGAGTTATTTGATCATGATGGTAACCGAATGACACAGATAAGCCGTATACTGTTTTTTGTCGTCGTTAATATAGCGTATGGAGTGGTTTTCATATATAGGCCAGGGCAATATGGTATGTTAGTTTGACCTTGGCACTTTTGCACACACATTTCTTTTCTTTACACCCATAAACCTGTACGGAAAAACTAAAACATAAGATCAATATTACATTCTTACCTATTGAATCTCACTCATGGGAGCAATTGTCAGTCAGCCACATATATCATGGGTGTGATGTTTTTTATTTTGACTCCCTAATTTGTTGTGCTCATACAAGAGCACATTTATTGCCATAAAATAATTCACCACCAATACCAGTTGGCCCTATTATGCTGAGGCTTACACAAGTCATATAGGTTGCTCCCACATTGTAATTTGCAAATGTAATTATTTTTGGTAATCCACATGGGGCATTAAGAGATTGGTCCATGAAAAATCTGAATTAGTGTGTATACAATAAACCGTCTCCTAAAACGGATTAATTTGCTGGTTATGACCACAAATGTTTATTTACCTCCAAAACCTATACAAAATGCTTTAATGTAAACACTTTACTTTCCTATAAATCATTTAAGATGCTTGCAATTATCATACATTTATATTTATAATGAATGCATGCAAGCTTTAAATGTTGTACTGTAATGAATAAACCATCATGTTTTGAAATATTTTTCACATTCTTCACCACAATGGGTAGCTGCCAGTTTTGAAGAGGTGCAGGAACAAAATGTGGCTTTGCGTAACTAGAATTGGTTTGTTTTTGTTTTATTTTGCATACACTTCACATGTACCCTTCTTCCCTTTCATATGTTTGTACAAAATGCAAATCGTTTTTTGTCTCTTCTTTTAATGCCTTTTTATATATTCTATTATATTTTCAAAGCTGTAAAAGAAAGAAACATTACTCTCCAAATTATGTTGCTATAAGGCTATAAAGTATAACAGCTGCTGCACATACAAACCTTCAGGCTTCTGATTTGTCCTCTCATCTCTGCTGATGAGATCAATACTTTGTTGACTTACCATTATATAAGACTGCTAAGTCTTTGGTGGTTTATAATAATGTTTATATTATACAAAATAGGCTCCCACTTTGATCTCATAGAAGTACCTCTATCTCTGTAGTTTGTGGTTTCACATTGGATATAACAAATATCCAGAGAATGAGGAGTGCACATACTGTCCAGCATAAAGTCCTGAGGCCTGATCTGAGGGCAGCTGAATATACACAGTGTCCCCCGGTTGTAGAGGTAGTACTGCACTCCCTGATGCTTGATCTAAGAAACCCTTTTTGTATTCATCATATGTATACATCACTGGCTCATTGTTCCTCATCAAAGCCACCCAGACATTAGCTCCTTTGCAATGAACGTGGTAGGCAAAGTAATAAATGCCGGGCATGTCACAGGTGAAGATTCCTGTTTCCGGGTTGTAGTTTTGGCGACCATTGTACAAGAGCTTGTCGAAGACGACTGGAGTGCCCACAGGTGGAAAGGGAGTGGTTATTAAAGCTGTGAACGCTGGCATTTCCAGCCCACTGGCCCCCATTGCTTCTGCCCTGTTGCCTCCATACTTTCCCTTCTTTCCATAGCCGCCAGTCTTAACACCATCTAGTTCAGGGCCCATTTGAGAGAGCACTCCAGCGAACTCAGGGGACAGACCCGATGCACCAGTTGGGCCTGGTGGTCCAGGGAGGCCAGGCTGACCTCGTTGTCCAGCTGGCCCTGATGGCCCCTCTTTCCCTTGGGGTCCTATGGGACCAGGAATACCTGGATTTCCCTCACCTGCAATGCCTGGTTGACCAGGAACACCGCCATCTCCTTTCGAACCTGGGAGACCAGAAGGCCCAATTGGTCCTGCAGTGCCATCCATTCCAGGGATTCCTTTAGGACCTTGAGGTCCCACTGCACCAGGTAATCCACCTTGTCCTTTTGGCCCGGGAAGTCCTGGAGATCCAGGGTTACCAGGTAGACCTTTATGCCCTCCATCTCCTTTCGCTCCACCCGGTCCTGGTGGACCTCTTGGTCCTGGCTCTCCACGATTTCCAGGCAGACCATCCTTACCAGGTATTCCAGAAGCACCAGGGTTACCCTGGTCTCCTCCAAGCCCGTTAGGTCCTACTTCTCCACAATCTCCTTTAGGACCAGGTGCACCTAAACCACCTGGGGTTCCCAGACGGCCAGGAGGACCTGGTGGACCATTTGGTCCTGGTGGTCCAAGCATACCAGGCAGGCCCCCGTAGCCTTTATCTCCTTTTGGTCCTGAAGGTCCAGGTTGTCCACCCATACCTTTATCACCTTTTGGTCCTAGGAGCCCTGGTTTACCAAATCCAGGAAGTCCTGGCTTTCCTGGCAGACCTGGTGGTCCTGAATGACCTTTCCCACCTGGCATGCCTGGCTGTCCTGGCAGGCCATTTTGACCTGGTTTTCCCTGACCCGGTAGACCTGGTGGGCCAGGCTGTCCTCCTTCCCCAGGTGGCCCAGCTGGTCCTAGCTCCCCAGGATGACCTTTATTTCCTGATGGTCCGAGTGGCCCTGGTGCCCCATTCAAACCAGGTTTTCCAAAACCAGGCAGCCCTCTTGGGCCAGCAGGTCCTTGGGTCCCTGGGAGCCCTTTGTGACCAGGTTGTCCTGGCTGGCCTATCCCTTTGTCTCCTTTGGGTCCCGGTAATCCTGGTAGTCCTGGCAACCCTTTGTGACCTGGCTCTCCCTTGAGACCTGGTTGGCCAGGTAATCCCTGTCCCCCTGGTTTACCTATTCCTGGCAGCCCAGGTGGTCCTGGGGGACCCTGAGGCCCTGTCTGCCCAGCTGGCCCTTCCTCACCCCTAGGGCCCATTTCTCCTTGTGGTCCAGGCTCACCACTTCCTCCTGGCTTGCCTGCAAGTCCTGGCAAACCTGGTTTTCCAATTCCAGCCCCCCCTGGTGGACCTAGTGGTCCTGGTCGTCCCTCGGGTCCGGGCTGTCCATTCCCTGAAGGTCCAGGAGGTCCTGCGGGTCCCTCAGCTCCAGGTGGCCCGGCTGGGCCAGGCTCTCCTTGGGGAATCCCCTCAGCGCCACTAGGGATTGTCTGACCTGGATAAATATTCAACAGGAAATTATTGATTTGATAATATAGAGGCAATGCTTTGATTGTTAAGCCAGGGCATACATGACCATGACACGGACACTCAGTTGAAATAGAAAAACACAACAATGGTTCAATAAAAAAAATATATATTTTGTGCGATTAATGTTCATTGGCAGGTAGTGTCACATTTGTCCAAGATGAGACTGATATATATTTTTGGAAGTTTGTTGGTTACTGGATGTAAAAATGTTGATTTTCTCACCTTTGTCTTGGCCCCCATTATAGCCGTCTCCTTTATGAGCATTGCCTTTGCCCTTGTGCATGGGCATCTGGGGAATCTCCTTCCTGTAGTGGGGATACTGCATATACGGCACCTCTTTGCCAAGGTACTGTTGTTGGGGAAAACCTTCTTTGCCCATTTGTTGGTGGTGTTGCACCGGCTGGTATTGCTGAGGGTGTTGCTTGTGTCCATAGTATGCCCCAGCAGTCACACAAGTAAGTACTGCGAGCTGTAGCAGTGTCAGAAAGAAAGGGAGGGGAGGCATGGCCAAGGCCTGTATGGAAGGAAGACAAGACGAGGTGAGTGAGGGATCTGCATTTCATGTACATTACTAAGTATGTCGATCAAACATTGGTATAGTATCGGTTTAGCACTTCTTGAGAACCTCATTTGCCAAAGTAGGATGTTTGTCTCCCTCTGCTGGATTTACATTGGAGCTGCACTGACTTGTGACCAGTATTTGCAGTCGGTTGCGTTTATACTGTATGTCATTGTGTCATCCACTAATATTGTCACAGGCAGACATAAACCTGAAAGTTTTAAATGTATTTTTCTGCTTACATTTGGAATAAATGGGCTAGTTAATAGTTTGTGGTAGGATTGATTGAACTCTTAATGTTTACTAGTTATTTTAGTAAACATATTAGGGGTTGTGTATGTTACTGTTTAAAGGTTAAAAACGATTGTATCTGAGAAGGATACTTTGAAATGTGTGTTAATTTCAATTTTGGCCCTACATTAGGAATAAAATGAACCTCCTGTAGGTGTCCAGAAGGGGGAGACACACAAAGAGTCACATATTTATTTTGAAAGATGTCCTGTTGAAAATATACACTTAAAGATATACTAAAGTACCAGTACACTAATTAATCTGTCACACCGTCTAAAAAAGAATGTGATATTGAAACATTTGTATTTACATGTATTCAGACACACTGCTTTTTTTGCTCTTTTTACAAGTATGTGAAGTATTTCTGCCACCTTCCAGTTAACTCACTGGTGTGCACACACCACTCCTGCTGGTATTAATAGGAACATTCTTGTTGTTCGTACATTAGTGCAACATATTTTGTCAGATATCTGAGACAGAAAAAAGGCAAAAAAAAGAAAGAAATCTCAATAACGACACAAAAGTCGGAATGTGACACAGGAAGGCGGTTAGAATGAGGAATATCTAAAGCAACCTATAGATGCCTGTCAGAAGTATAAGAAAGTCCCCAAGTCTCAAATATACATTATATATTATAAAAAAAGTTGCGGTCCAAAAGTTGTGGTCTGCTTTAAATGGACAGTAACAGAGCGAGTCAAAGAGGTTTTCCTTGGCTCCAAAGCCAGTGAATACCTCACCATAAGCTGCTCCTCTGAGTGGTTACTCTTCAGTTTTTCTTTATAAGTGCAATTTCCACCCCAGTCTCCTGCCACACTCATTTTATTACAGCCAGCTCATCCATGGTTCTTCTAATTCGCATCCTAAACCGCATCCTAAGTGTCCACTCCATCACTGGCTCTTTGGATCTTTTCCGCCCTTTGACCTTTTCTCATTGGACTGGTGATTTTGACATGGCCGTGCCACTGTCTCCCCCGATGTGAGCTGGCCTTTCAAATAAGCCCAGCTTGTTTCCACAGTGACAGGAGCCAGACATGCCAAAGGCCGTGGAGGAATGCTGCTTTTCCCAACAAGAACTGGGACCTATGTTTGCCCACTGGGAGTACGCTTTGGTCTATTCCCAGTATCCTAATCAACATTATGAGGTTGAAAGGCAATAGAGAAGTAAAGGAAATTAGTTGATGTGTGACAACCTGAGCATCAAAAAAAAAAATGTCTGTGTTAAAGTTCCCACAACTGACAGTAGTAGGAAAACAACTACTATTAGGAGATGGTAGGGAAAAAAGGGTAATGAAAATAAAGAAAAAAGTAAAAATGTATAATGCTTTGATCCAAAAGATTGTGTGTGAAGGACTGAGGATGTATCTTGTTTTCAAACACAAATAGGTAATGTCATAATTTAGCAAATGAAAGGTTAACATACTGATGAGATTAAATGCTCAAACCACTTTAAATACATATTTATCACCAGTATATTGCTAATTTAGAACTGATTTCAGTAATAGTTCTTGACACTATACACTTGTATATATGATGTAGGGTACGAATGAAATACTTCTAACAGGTGAGGGTTATAGAAGAAAAAGGTTCCCTGATCCTAAAGCATTTTTCAGGTTAAAATATTCAGACACATTTTTGCCAACAAGTAAAGAAACTGAACAAAAGCATTTCAAGGCAACAATGTTTGTGGAAAAAGGAGCAAAACTTTCCCTTATTGACAGGATGACATTATTATCAAAATCTCTTTTGATCTATAAATCTATCCAAATCACTATTGAAATGTATGTGTATGCTCAATAAACATTGTTTATGAACATTTGACCAGCTCGGGGTTGATTTCAGACTTTTCAGATTTACACTCCTTTTAAAAACTTCCTGTAACTGTACATTGTATAATTAGGGTTTTATCTGACTTGCATAACACATATTTACAGAATTAACTGAACATGTAAATATGAAAAATTACATTTGAGAATACATGATGATGGATTTCAGTGATGCGTAATATTTAACCTTACATTACCATTTATTTATATACATTAAAAGCTTTAAGAAAATAAATAGGACAGTCTTACTGCTTCTTTGGAACGTCCCAGCATGGTGTCGGTGTGTGTGTGTGTGTGTGTGTGTGTGTGTGTGTGTGTGTGTGTGTGTGTGTGTGTGTGTGTGTGTGTGTGTGTGTGTGTGTGTGTGTGTATGTATGTATGTATGTATGTATGTATGTATGTATGTATGTATGTATGTATGTATGTATGTATGTATGTATGTATGTATGTATGTATGTACTGTATGTATGTATGTATGTATGTGTTTTTTAAGGGGTTGGAAATATTCCGACAGACTTTTACGGCCACAGATCAGAGGGGCCGTACAACGGGGGTCTGTTCAGCGTCACATAGCAACACCGTTACGATGTCATGGAGACCGCTGAGTGATGGAAACACCTCCTGTCCTTACCTGCTGAGCTTTTCTCCAACACGTTATTCTACATAAGTGTTGCCTCCAGAGTGACTTGTTCATACAGCATGGCCACTTTCAGACATCTGACTCAAACATTAGCTAACAAGTTTCCATGTTTTAAATGAAGCATGCATTTAAACCAATGAGACTATAAAGAAGTCTATTATGCCAAATGAACTTTCCTTTTAAAAACGTGAGTGTCATCCTTAATGATGCCAGACATGAAGTCACATATAAATGTTGCTGTGAGTAAGGTATTTGTGAGATTTAAAGTGTAATTTTGCGCATGTTTGTGTAAAAAACAATTCATCTTGTTCATTGATGTCTTTCTAATGACAAGAAGTCATTTGTAACAATGACAATCAGGAACAGCAACCATGTTCTACAATTTCAGATGTCACCCATTCAGTTCACACACACACTCCATATTTTGTTTGTTCATAAGGCAGGAAAATACACACATACACATAACTTGAAGACAAAAGAAAAGCACACACACTGTGCAATGTGTATGTGTCATGTTCAATTAACATATATTTGTGCAATTATGGATACAAATGTTACATTTGCTTTGTATTGCTCTGATATTTGCCTGGTTTGTATAGTTACATTTTTCGTTTTTATTTCATACAAGAGTCTACGGCCATGCTAGCAGTTTTACGAGTTAGTGACTCTTTGAACTAAATAACGCCAAGGTGCTTACATTTTCAAAATGTTAATGCTAAAATGCTGATGCTTATGTTACCATGTTCAGCATCTCATCTTAGTTTAGCAGGTGAGAGCGCTTACATTAACCAATAAGCATTAAACACAAAGAACATATGATGGGAACCGCCATTAGCTTTACTAGTAATTATATGAACCAAAGTTTCCACCGATTAACATCTTGACCAGATGATGGCACCAGAGAAAGAGTCAGAGGATCACCAAAGTCATCATGATTAATCATCTACTGTAGGGACCATGAAACTCAGTAATCCATCCACGGAGGTATTTCATCCCTACATGCCGCTAGTGTTGCTTTAAAAAAAAGTGTTACCAAATGTGTTCAGACCATGATCTGTGTACAGTATTTCAGCTTAAACAGTTGCACAGTGAAAAATAAATAATCGACACTATCGTAAAACCTTCAAACTACATCCATCACCTTTAGTAGGTCCTGTCAATCAAGTTTAGGCCCACACATCAACCATGTGACCACAGCCCAGGGGGAAATGGATGTACAAATATCTGCGGTCTGAATCCTAATTTTTCAACATCTGCTGCCAAATCATGTGTGTCTGGTCATACACCACTGAGCTCTCAGCATGTCCTCCCTGGCCCAGACACTCTCAAAAATAAGCAAACCTCAAAGTAGTCTACATTGAATGTAACGTGTGTGCATGTGTTTCCCCCTGTTTCCCCGACTACATCCAGATGTACATATTTTTTGTCATAATACGCAAACCAAACACAGTAAATTGTCTGTCAGGTGTGCAGTGTGAGAGAACTCATGGGCATCATGTGTCTGTAAGATGTGGTTTTTGCTGAGTCAACTTTCGCCCAGTAAAAGCTTGGGTGTCGACTACTGCGATTTATACAAGGTGCGATCTCCAGAATCTCATTAAAACCGCAGCAGCTGGCAACCCCCTGAACAAATGTGTAAGAAAGACTATAAGACTATCCAAAGTACAATATGGAAAATGAACCTCAGCTTCCTGTGTAATTCTGATTTACCATAGACTGAATTACATGATTGGAGGGAGGTAGTGAGGGAATTTGAAAAACGTTCACATGTCCCAATTACAGATTTTCATCACAAGATTATCAATCGCTATATCTATGGAAAACGTGATAACACAAAATACAAATGCTATCAGTCGGATTTAAATTCAACTTTTCTATTGTGTGTTTTCTCTCTTTTTGGCAAATGATTTGTGTGTTTGGGGGTTGGGAGTGAGACAAAGCCAGATCCTAAATATTGGATTATTTACACAATATTATTATATATGTATGATTAACAATTAATACCGTTATATTGTGACAACACGTGAAGGAAGCCTAAAACCTGATGAAGAAATGCAACCGTCTTAAATGGGCTTATTGCA